AAGAAATCAGTGAAAATTCCGCTTGGCTGTGTCAACAGACACGATTCGGAACGTTCCGACAAAAGACGTGTCGGTTGGAAGGCCGTTTGTAGCAATTTAGCTGGGCTGGATGGTGACTCATCAGCCTTAGACCCAGTCGGAGCTAAACAGAAAATTCGAATTTTGAGTTCGGATTAAAAATCTAATATCATTGTAACGGACACGACCTGACTTTTGTCGGGAGGAGGAAAATCGGTCGGATCGTTTCCGTCTTCTGTGTCCACACAGGACAAGACACGCCTAGTCTGTTGGCTTGCTGGCCTATTTATTCCCCAAATGTGTACGCTAGACCGCTGTCGTGGCGCGCTGTGTCCTTGGTACGAGGCTATAAATAGTCTAGAGGATAATGAACCCAAGGCGGGAAAAGAAATATATGGATTTTTTAAAGGAAAATTGGTAAAGTCGTTTATGCACATTTAAACCAGTTGGTTTGCTCGTACACTTTGTTAATTTTGAGGGGCTGATTACGAATATGACATCAGATGTTTTTATCCGAACTGAAAATAAGAATTTTTTAATAGCTCTGGCTGGGCCTAAGGCTGAGTCACCACATGGCCTCGCTAAAATGCAGCAATCGGCCTTCCTACCGACATGCCTTTCGTCGGAACGTGTCGTCTTGTGTCTGTTAACACAGCCAAACGGAATTTTCACTGATTTCTTAGGAGAAAAAAAAACGTGCTCCGCTAAAACTACCAATTTTCCGAGAGCCGAACGGAATCGGGTCCGTTGGTTTCCGTTCCAAAGGAAACGAACCCTCACCCAAACAGCCAACAGTCTTTCCCCCTTCCACAGCAAGCCTTATTGTTACCACACGCCTCCCGCTCCTCAGACTAGAGCAACGTGTTTTTTCTCAAGACTTGTACATTTTAGACAAAATTACACAATACACATGTAGAGAGAAGTACCTTTAGATCCCTTTGTAAAAATGCTTGATTTCTGTCCGTGGAATACTTTCTTCGTAGATAATATATGTATATTGCATTTTTGACTATCAATTTCCCATTGAAAAATTCACTTTGGACTCAACATTCAAACTGGCAAACAAGTTGTATTGGCCTGGCATGTCACACTTCGATCTCGTAAAAATAACCCATTTTTATATACGTTCGAAATATTCGCTTTGATCTTAAAAAGTAAAGAATGTTAGACGCCATGCCATTTAAAACCTCATCAATCTCACCAAACAAAGCAAACTATTCAAGTACATACGTGTGGACGATCAGGCAAACACCATGATATTATATAAGTTTAGGCAAGGGTGTGACCGAGAAACATTGTTGGCAGGTGGAGCGTAACAAAACCATAATTCTGTACTTCACGTTTCTCAGAATATCTTTTTGTTCTACTCTGCACTCGCTACCTCAATGTACACCTTGTTTCCATTTTGTTCTGAAACCGATTCATGTGATTAGAGTGCGCCGATGAACGAAAAAAGAACTCCTTAATTGCGTGTCTGCTTTTATCAAAACAAAAGACAGTCAAGATTTTCTATCTTCACAAAAGACTTATTGAAAAGGGATAGTTTTTTTTTCAAGGGGGGGGGGGGTTGTTTTGTTTTGTTTTGTTTTGCATTGCCTATTTGAATACACGCTAACTAATTACAAGAGTGCATGCACTTGTAATCGATGTTTCTTAAGGACTGCCTTGATTGAAGCTCGTAAAATAAATCACCTGCGTGCCATAATGGCCAATCTATTGTGTTAAAGTCTGTTCACTATTTACATTTCTTTATGACTGTCGTCAAGTTCAGCCCTCTCATTCCCTGTCGCAATCTGTCTTACGAGATATTATGTCGTGTTTTCACTAGAGAACTATTTATTTAAAGAGAAGGTGTGTTTGTGTGAGTGTGTGTGTGTGTGTGTGTGTGTGTGTGTGTGTGTGTGTGTGTGTGTGTGTGTATGTGTGTGTGTGTTCGAGATAGATAGATAGAAAGATAGATAGATAAATAGATAGATAGATAGATAGATAGATAGATAGATAGATAGATAGATAGATAGATAGATAGATAGATAGATAGATAGATAGATAGATAGATAGATAGATAGATAGATAGATTGTGGGGTGTGAGTGTCATGATTTTGGGTGTTAGGCCTGCGTACGATTAATAAGCTTACTATATTTAGATTTAAGTTTCTTTGTCATGCTAGTCTATTATAGGCTTGCATACATATTTATATTTGTCGTTTCTTGTATTTTCAGAAGTTGAACTTTCTCTTTGTCTTTGCGGACGGATCTGCCTGTCTTCCAATACTTCTTCACAATCACAAATGTCCACCGTAAGAACACCTCCTCTCTCTCTCTCTCTCTCTCTCTCTCTCTCTCTCTCTCTCTCTCTCTCTCTCTCTCTCTCTGTTTTAGTATTGCCCCCTATTTATGTAATTATCTGATGTGCTACACCAGTTTATGTATTTGCCTAGTCATATGTTATAATTAAAGTGTGGGTGTATCACGCTTATTAGCGGACCAAATTTTACTAAATTTCACACATATAACAAGAATAGTAAGGAGTCCTAAAATCTGCAATCAAATTTGAGGAAAAAGTTTCGTTCCATGGATACGGCGGCCATATTGGATTTTGTTGACATGACTTACGTAATGAATACAGCACTTATTACTCATGGAAATTGATTGTTTTTCTGAATAGTGTTAACAAACATTTGATCTAAAAATTTGTCTGTTGTTGTTTTCCTTAACGAATTAGAAAATTTTTAATGAATTTTTTCCTGAGGTAGCATTCAAGTTTGCAAAAAATCCGTTAAAATCCATACTCCAGACACCACCAACAAAATATCTATTCCATATATCAAAAATGCAACAGATCTATTTTTAGTATTACATCTTCTCTTCATTCTGTGACAATTTCGTGAAGATTGAATGAAAAATGATGGAGTTATTCAAAAGAGTATAGAGGAAAGTCGCGTTTTTGAGAAAACGGCCGATAAAGAAAAATGAAATATTGACTTTATGAGGAGATGGTGGTGACAAACATGCCCGGTATGGGGGGAAAATACAGTTTTTAGGGGTTCTTATGCAATAAAATAGTTGAGGGAGAGGCTGAGGAAGCTAAAAATGCCTACAACTCAAATTCCATAATTTTGAGTCGCATCTTGACTTAGGGGGGGTGTAGCCCTCCCTCCCCCCCCCCCCCCCCCCCCCCCCCTTTTTCTAAATTTTTATATCCCGAAGAATTTAAGAAAACCCGGAAACCCCCCCCCGTAAAACCCGACCAACGGTTTAGGCCGAAAATATACTAAGCCCGGTTTGAAGACAACAAACTGACGGACAGAATGCACTGTGCCGAGGTGACTTATAAAAATAAAGAGCTGACGGGTGGATTGGGCCAATTATATCAAGTCCAGCTGGCAGACGTTGTCTGGAGACAGCCGGGTTTGATTGTCGCATACAGCATTCTATCTGTCAGGACGGCCGATCTTAAATAGGAAATGGGTCATTGCTCCCTCTGGTACTTGAAAAATTAAATTCTAAAATGTTACAAATTGCATCAAATAGCATTTTAAAGGTTAGATTTGAGTTCAGCGTACACGAAGACCCCCAAGTGCAATAGATACTCGATTATCAGCGTATATATACTTTTGACTTTTTTTCATAATAAGCAAGTTTGATGAGCACGTGTGTATCGCCATCTTTTTGACAAATACAACAGCAATGCTAATCGTTGTTTCCTAGACAGCACCCTTATATCAAATGATGTCAATCCCCGAAGGCGAACGGAATGGCGGGTGCAATGCCGTTATGCTTGTGCACCATTCAACAGCTTTCAATTTGCAGACACCAGGTGGACGGGCTTGTATACATTCGGCCCTATACCCCTTCCACTCATACTTTGGTACAAGCACCTACAGAATTTTCAGCCATTTTGTTTGGTTTGCATTGCCACTCAAGATGAAAATACAACGTAAAAATACATCTGCGATCCATACAATACTTTGCAGTGTCCTTTTTCTTCTCCACAGGGAAGCCAACATTCCTTGCAATGTGATCCGCGGAGTTTCAAAAGGAGACAATTATGAAGTGGGCCAGCAGAATGTCAAGGGCATGGATGGGGCCTGGAACGCCGTGTACTTGGCGGGATCTTGGCGATTCGTGCACCCACTGTGGGCATACTACAAGGAGAAACAAGCCTACGAATTTGGGTACGATTTTGTCAGGGTTTTTCTTCTTAGTGTGCACCTAGATTCAGATTTAGTCATTTCGAAGTCGTTCTATTCGCTGAGAGTTCAGTTTTGATGGGAAAATGAAGTGAAGAAGAAATCTTGGGAACTCGAACAATGTGATTAGGTTTGAAATCACAGATTGTGGATTCCAATGCGGAAAAATATTGACGGTGGAATTATTTACCAAATAACACTAATCGGAAGGATTAACGGCGTTTTTGTCATGAATACCAGCAAAGATATTCATTCATTCATTCATTCATTCAATAGCGTTACCGTCCCAAAATTATGGAACAAGTGTGGATATGTGCTCATGTCAAAGATGCTACTATTTAGATGCACCTGTGTATTACTAAGATCAGTCTGTAAATGGCCTTCTTTAAAACAACCTATTTCTTTCCTTTGTTCAACATAATTAATATTAGATTAAGAGTCCCAGAGCGCCACGCGTGCAACCATTGAACACTTCTTATACGGTAGATGTTAAGCACCTTCTCACGTCTGCTATTTGAAACCGAAGACTAAGGTAATATAATATGAGAGATAATTTTATCTCTGAGAATTTTCAGAATGGGTACAAAACCATGCAACAGGTTGTTCTTGTATCACACTTAAACCCAAAGATTCCACAGGACTGTTTACACGACCCATCGCCTAAGTTATACCTTTCTCAGTTCAGCCAGCGCAAAAATGTTTATAAATTCCTCTTTTGTCTTCCTTACAGTAGCCACATCTTTTAAGTTTTCCCACTCCTGAATCTGCTCGGCATTATATATCTTTTTGGTAGAGGTATTCCCAGTTTATCAAACCATTCCTTCTGAAAATATTGTACAAAATAAAAATAAAAAAGTGATTCCGTCTTTTTTTTTTTACGTTGAAACGAGATTTTGAATGCTATCGGTCAATGACTTTCGACTTTGCCATAAAATGTGATTCTTCTGTACACCCACATATTTAAACGGACATACCCTTATACGCATATATAAATGTGCAAGCAAAAATCGGGTCACCAGAATTATGTAATGGATCATTAAAACATCTTATTTTCCATAGCCAACCACCCCCAGCAGGTACAAAACGAGTTTCTATCAACGAATTCTACTGGCTAACTGATCCAATGAAGATGATCTGCTTCCACAACCCTAAAGCAGAACCTTGGCAGCTGCTCAAGTCGAAGTGGGACCAGAAAAAGTTCCTGGACAGCCCTCAGTTCACCGAGGATTACTTCAAGTCGGGCCTCATGCTCCCTCGAAAATATAACGCTATCATCTACAGCGACAATGGCATCTGCATCATTGACCTCGACCATCAGGCCTTTGAAGATCTGAGAGTAGACGCTACCGTTATAAAAGACGTTAATCAATCTCAAGGGGAAAACACTTCTCCAGACTTAAACATGGGAGATTACGTCACAGTGGCGAGTTCTTCCACGCGCAAGTCCGCCATTATCCGATTTCCGGAGAAAGGGAGATACAATGCTGATGTGTACGGCGGGAAACTGACGTCAGAAACACAACGTCCCCTCAAGATCGTCGAATTCCGGCTAGAATGTTCAGAATCCGCTCGAGAGCCGGTGCCCTTCCCTCTGAACCCTCGCGATGGGTTCGGAATCTTGCCGGCTGCCAACCAGATGGGGATCTCCGACCCCAATCCAGATTCCGGACTTGTGCTGGTCAAACAAGGTCAACAGAAGACGTTCTCTTTCACGACCACCCAGAGGCTGGAAGCTGAGGCGACCCTGGTGCATTACCACAACACGGACTCCAGGGACTTCCACTCCTACATCAGCACGAGAACCACAGAGGACACTTTGACTGTTGACGTCATTGTGCCGGATGAAAAATTGTTGGAGTTCGGCTTAGAGGTCAGTGTCCCCTCTAGTGACTTTTCTATTTGTTTGTTTGTCCGTTTGTTGTTATGTATTCGTTGCTCTTTTTCTCATTTCTGAATTTGTGCATTTGATTTTCCATTCTTTTTCATCAATTGTATTGTTATCTCTACCTGCGACATTCAATCAACCTCCCAAACGATTATACTAAAGATGAAGAGAAATACAATATATATCAGCACAGTTGTGCCTGGGAAGGGGTGGGGTTGTGGGGGGCGGGATGTCGGACGAACACCAGAAAAAAGCATAGGCAATAGTTACACTCTATAATTATGTTAAAGCATGCGTACTCTCATATCGATTTTATATCCCTAGATTTTCCATTATTCCTCTCTTTACCGTGTAGGTTTACAAATACATGTATACCTTAAAATTCTTGGTCACATGATCTTTTAGTAGCGAGATGAGTATTTTTAATTGGTTAAAAATATACTAACATCCCTTTTATAACATTTCGCCATTGCGTTGATTAGGACGTGAACAGTTTACTAACATTTACTGTCTGAATGTGGTTGGTAGATGCCCCAGTGTGGTCTGTCACTATTTTGTGTGTGTGTGTGTGTGTGTGTGTGTGTGTGTTTGTGTGTGTGTGTGTGTGTGTGTGTGTGTGTGTGTGTGTGTGTGTGTGTTACAAATCCTGATCTGTTCAATACGTCATTATCCGCATCGCCATTAAGAGGACCTAACAACAAGCTATCTATGCATGTCACTAACTTACAGATCGCAGCACGGCCTGAAGGCGGGGGTCGTTCGTTCGTGACAGTCGCTAACTACCTTCTCGTTGACGAAAACTGGAAGAAGAGAACAGCAGTTGTCTCCCCGACCAGAGGTGCTTCTAAGGTACGTTTAATGAAAACATGTACACAATGTAGGTTTTACATAATTGTTTGCATAGTGTTTTTGTTGTTGTTATTGGTATTGTTGTTGTTGCTATTGTTGTTGTTGTCTTTGTTTTGTTGTTGTTGTTGATAGTGGGTTATTGTGGGTTTTACTTCTATATATATATAATATGTTTATTTATTTATTTATGTATTCATAAGGGGCGGGGTGTATCTTTTTGTCCTTAAGTTTATGTGTATGGATAACAATACATTCTAACATTATATATCAGTTACACATATTATTATCTATAGGATATCAGTACAAGTCAAAGTGAGACTAAGAGATACCCAAAAGTCAGTAAATAAATTTTGTATGCTAACTCACATGCATACCAATAAAATGATGTCCATGCAACACCTACGCCACTAGTGCAGTTTCACCACGGTCTACTTTTGAGCACCGAAAAGTATTGTTACCATAAGCAACAAAATACAGAGCGCACTTTTAACTCAGTCTGGTTTCATGCTAAAAGCAGTGGAAGCTTTTTTGTATTAAAAAAGTAGCTATAGGTTTGATCAAATATGGTAACTGAGGTTGTTTTTTAGTGTCGGGGTTTGTTTGGGTTTGTTGTTTTTTGTGTGTGTTTTTTTGGTGTAAAAAACAGCTTGCTTTTCTTAACCTGCGCATCAACTGTTCATTTGTTTGCGTACTGTTTTTGTCTTTATTCGGTAAGCAGTGTAAGATAGTCGTACAACTAGTGATGTAATCCATATAACATTATTATAATCAATGACCAGCATTTTCAGTCTTGCCTTCTTTTCAAATAACTTGCCACAGCATACAAACACACTCACA